GACTAGAGTAAAGATAAGAAAAATTTTACCCTAAGGAAGATAATAATGTAACTTTCCTACCTTTTCAGATATAAATTATAAACATTTCCTAAGCTCAAAAATATAGCGCCCATTCTTGTGGGCCCTTTGATGAGCTAAAGCTAAGGCTATTTCCCTGAGTTTGGACTATTTTGACCTCCACAGGGAGCTCTAGGGAATGTAGCCAAATCTAAGACTCAATAGCAAAAGAGTCAAAACTATTTTAAATTACCAATACAGTGTTTATGGAATGGGGCAGTGTTTTTCAGAAATAAGATCAAAATGTCAGTTTTTAGTAAATTAATAATCAATCATAGCAACTGAAGAGTAGTAAGGACTTTTGATAAGTAGACAATTTGGTGCTATGTACGCGGTGTAGCCTCCAGAGTCTATGGGGGAGAACAAGCATTCAAGCAAAACAATCTGTAATATAACCATCTGTGTCTTTTACACTGTTACAGATAACCGTTATCAGAATTGTGTTGCCTGGGAAACTCTACAAGCTAAAAATTTTCATATAATAACTTAGAGTAGCACAAGTTTGGACAGTCACAAAAACTTATCTGTATGAGGGCTTTGTAACATATATGTACTCATGTAAAGCAATCATGGGAGATCCTGAAACTCAAGATTCTCATCCACAATGACATCAGTCAGTATCATTAAGGAGCAAGGCATCTGTCGTGGTTGTACTGGTTTACATTCTCACCAAAAATATAGTCTGCTTCCTTTTTGCTCACAACTTCACTAGCATTCATTGTTTTTGAGTTTGTGGTGATGATCATTCTTTCTGGAGTAAGATAAAATCTCAGTGTTGTTTTAAATTATGTTTTTCTAATGATAAAAGATACTAAACTTTTTTTCATGTACTTTGTGGATATCTGTACTTCTTATGAGAGGTATCTGTTTGTTTTAATTGCTCATTTTTTTGTTGGAGCTTTTCTTTTGGAGTAAGTCTAATTCTTTTTGAGTTCTTCATTATTCTAGCTTTTAGGCCGCTGTCCAAACAGTAAGTGGAAAGAATTATTTTCCATACAGTAGGTTATCTCTTCACTTGACTGTCTGTTTCCTCTATTGTGCAGAAGCTTTCTAATTTTGTGTGATGCCATTTGTTGCTTGGTAGTGATGTTTCTTGTGCAAACGGGGTTCTGTGGAGACAGTTCTTGCCTGTTCTTATGTTCACCAGTTTTACTTAATTTATCTTTCAGTAGATTCAGAATTTTTGTTTTAATAGCTAGGTCTAAGGTTGATTTTGAATTTATTTTAGTACAAGGTGAGTGATATGTCTAGATTCAATTTTTTGCTTGTGAGTAATCAGTTTTCCCAGTGCCATTTGTTAAGGCAGTATCTTTTCTCCAGGGTATGTTTTTTAACCCCTTTGTCAAAGATCAGGTGGCTAAAAGTAATTAAGATTGTTTCTCATCTTCTGTTCTGTTCTATTGTGCCACACATCTGTTTTATGACAGTGCCATGTGGTTTTTGATACTATAGCTCTGTAATATAACTTGCCATATGGAATTGTGATGCTTCTTGCTTTGCTCCTGTTTAAAATTGTTTTTGCTATTCTCTTTTACCACCCCAGTTGAATATAAATTCTAGACTTTTTTTCTAGTTTTATGACAAATATTGTTGGCATTTTGATTGGAATTGCATTAAATCTAAAAATCAATTTTGAAAATATGGCCATTTTGACAATATTCTTCTCACCTATATTAGAAGAGGGGATTATTGCCATTTTCTGCTGGACTCTTCAATTTCAAAAAAATTTCATTTTTTTGTTTTATGAACATTGAAGCATCATTGCATCCTTGGATGAAGCCAACTTGTTCATGGTATATGGCCTTTTTAATGGTTTGGTGCATTATTTTTGCCAGTATTTTGTTGAAGTTTTTGCATGCATTTTCATTAAGAAGATTGGCTTGTAGCTTTCTTCTTTTCTTCAGTCCTTGCCCAGTTTTGGTATCAGGAAAATGCTAGTTTCCAGGAATAAATTTGGTAGTACTCAGTTTCATTTCATTTTCATTGAAGTTTAAGGAATATTGGCATTAGATCTTCCTTGAAATTCTGGTAGATTTCTATGGTGAATTCATCAGGCCCTGAACTGTTCTTTGTTGGTAGAGTTTTTATTATTGCCTATATTTTGATATCTATTATTGACATATTTAGACCTTTCTTGTTTTTCTAGTTCAATTTTGGTAATTCATAAGCATCTAGCAATTTCTCCATTTCTTCTAGGTTCTCTGATTGAAATATCAGTTTTCAAATGATTTTTTTAGAATCCCCTGGATTTTGATAGTGTTGGTTGTACTTCTGGCTTTTTCATTTCTAATAGCATTGAAAAGGGTTTTCTTCTTCCTTTATTTGTTAAGTTTGGCTAAGAGTTTATCAATCTTGTTTATACTTTCAAGGAATCAAAGGTTTAATTCATTGATATTTTATATTTTTTAGTTTCTGTTTCATTAATTTCTGCTTTAAAATTTATGTTTTTGTTCCTCATATTAATTTCAGATTTGGATTCCTCTTTCTTTTCTGAACCTGGAGATGCACTGTTAGGTTCTTTATTTGAAATTTCTTAGTTCCTGTAATGTGTACATCCATAGCTATAAACTTCCCTCTTAGAACTGCTTTCATAGTGTCCATATTTTTTGGCATGTTGTGCTTCCAGTGTTGTTTAACTATAGAAATTTTTTAAAATTTTTCTTTTGATTTCTTCTGTGATTCACTGATTATATAGTAATATATTACTTACTCTTCAAGTGTTTGCTTAATTTCTATCAGTTCTTTTGCTGTTGATTTCTAGCTTCACTCCACTAAGATCTGACAGTATGCAGTGAATTACTTCATTCATTTTGTATTTACTTAGGCATGCTTCATGGTCTCTTATTACATATCTACTTTGGAAAAAGTTTTGTGTGCTGCAGAGAAAAAAATGTGTATTCTTTGGTCGCTAGATGAAATACTATGTAGCTACCTGTTAAACCCATTTGCTCAGTGGTGTGTTTTAATCCCAATATTTCTTTGTTAATTTTTGTCTGGTTGACCTAATGGTGAATGCAGGTTGTTGAAGATTCCTGCTATAATTATACTGGTGCTTATCTGTCCACTTTTCCAGTGTATAATGGCCATCTTTGTGTCTTCTAACAGATTTGGCTTGAAGTCTGCTGTGTGTGAAAATAAAGTTGCTATTCTTCCTTGCTTACGGTATCCAATTGTGTGGAGTATCATTTTTCATCCTTTTACATTTAGTCTAGGAACTTCCTTTTGAATGAGGTGTGTCTCTTCTAGGCAATATTTTGTTGCATTTTGTTTTTTTATCTAATATTCTAGTTTGTGTCTTTTGTTTGAGGATTTAAAATAATTGACAAGGTGTTTATGAATCCTGTCATTGCATTATTTTTCCAGTGTTGAGTCTTTTGCTTTTATGGAGTTTTTTCCTTTCCTTTTTTCCTTTGACTGTTTTCCCAGTTAGATGTATATTTTTCTTTGGCCTCTTTGGTGCTGGTGGCATTCCTGTCTCTGATTAGGATTCCATTGAGAATTTTCTGCAATGCTGATTTAGTAGTCATGTTTTTCTTTTGGATTTCTTTGTTACAAAAATTCCTTAGTTCATCACTTTTGAAGGATAATTTTGAAGCATGTAAAAGAAAACACCACCTATGAGTAATAAAAACGAGAGCACCAACAAAAGCTTTCTGTCATGGCTTTTTTAAAGGATGAGATGAATATCAGACATTTAAAGCAGAAACTCTAGTTCTCTAATAACAGGACTTGGACTGGTTGTACTGCAGCACTCAAGGGGCAAAGGCAGGAGGATCATTGTGAGTTCAAGGCCAGCCTGGGCCACAAAGTGAGCTGAAGTCCAGCCTGAATTACACAGTGGAAACTCCTCTCAAAAAGACAAAAAGACAAAAAAAAAAAAAAAGTCTTTTAAAGTGTCATACCTTAATGGGCCTAAAACTCCAGTAGAGATACTATTTTTTTAATTTTAATAAATCTTAAGAATTGTAAAAGAGCAAATTAATTAACTAATTGTACTGAAATTAAACCCAACGTCTCCTTACTGAGTGGCATCCCCAGTGTTTCTCTATTTTCTTCTTTCTTTCTTTCTTTCTTTCTTTCTTCCTTTCTTTATTTCTTTCTTTCATTTTGAGACAGTGTCTTGCTAACTTGCTTGAACTAGGTTGAAAATTGCAATCCTCCTGTCTCTGTCTGCTAGTGTGCTGAGATTACAGGCATATGCTACCACACAACTCACAACCATACATTTTAGAGATGGTTCAGAAATTAAAGTATGTTTGTGTATTGTTGATTTTCTCAAAGTAAAAAGTGGGCACCTCCCTAGATCTCTCTAGAAAACCTTTCTCATCAGGATGTCCAGTGTGGCACCAATTTCCAAATACGCACAGGAAGATGTGGGATGCAGATTTTGAAGCTAAACAACCCTGCCTTCCTTCTTAGTCTTGCCTGAAACCTCTTTTCTGACTCTATAAAGAGCTATGAATCTTGATAGTCAGGATCTATTAGCCTTCATGACTTCAGTTAAAGATATTTTGGTTTTATATTTTTTGACAGTAATGAAATAGCAAGCAGAAGAAAACACTAGAAATAGCCTTGTCTTATCACTTAGAAATAGAAATAGAGTCTAATGGGAAAACTGAGATGAGTTTCTGGCAAGGTAGTGCTTTGTGTGTTTATTTTTCTTCCAGAACTCTAAATAGTTGCTTTGGCAGAATGATTGCCCTGTAACTGCCCTCTCCTGAAGTCTCAGAGGTGTTTACAGAAATCGAAAGTTCAGCAGTACATTTCCATGAGCTCATTACCAGTGCTAGTGTGCCTTTTAGATTTTATGTACAAATGAACATACACACAGGATAAGACTTTCAGATTGTATTTTAATTACAGACAGAGAAGCTAAAGTCAGATACTTAATTACTGTAACAGCAGGGTATCTTTAGAATCCCTGCTTTGGTCATTATTATTCAAACTAACTCTAAGGCTATTTCTTGCCTGCCTCTTTATGCTAATCTTCTGGTCTCCTTTGCTCCTCCTCCTTCCAGCCTCCCTTAAGGGCTGTACATGTCCAGCTGTCACAGAGGGTAACTCAGCCCAGGGGAGAAATCCCTTGATTTATCCCCACAACATTTGTTTTCCTTTGAGTATGTATAACTCTAGCAGTCCTCTCTAAATACTGGAGGAACTGAATTTCACATCAGTGGAAGGCACTGTGCATTGCCAAAACTATAATCTATTAGAAATAGCTACTTTGGGGGATCTTAAACTGTAAAGGAGGACAGTTTCAATTTACTTTGAGGAGAAAGAAGAACTAAATCTTGGTTTTGCCACATGACTTGGCATCTTTATATGTAAGGGAGGTAACACTGGTAAATATCTATTTCAGGAATCATGTCTAGGAAAAACTTGGAAGTTTACTAGAATAGTAAATGTTTTACATGCACAGCAGCAACTCATGTGAGTATGTGGTTCTGCATGCCTTCTGAGAACAATTTTAGGTGAGTGGCTGGGGGAAGGAAATGTTGTAGTAATCGTAAAGCCACAGCCAGGCTGCTAGTACCATGTCTGCTACACAGAGGAAAGGCAGCAGCCACCTGTTCACCAGTTTGTACACGTGTCAACTGGAGCTGCAGGAGAACCGGCAACAGCAAGGTGAGTCAATCTAATGAGTTCTGTGTTCTGGGACCTTCTGTCCATTTGCACATCCAGAAGAGTGGTGGGCTGGTGCAGTGTCTGTGGGGCCCTCTGACTGTAAAACACTTCGTAATCTTTCATTTTTTATAGCAATGTGTACAGTAGGGAGGCATCAGGATGGGTTAACTTGGATTCACTATTGATTTTTAAAAGACTATCAAATATCAAAAGACTATCAAGAAAGCATACTCCTTTGAAACTTAGATGTTTAAACTAGCCACTGTTAGTTTTTTAGTCTGATATATTTTATGCTATGTGTCTGAGCAAGGCTGCATTGGTTACAGGAAGGATTTAGTCAAGAGTAGCTTTAATTTAGCCTGGAGCTCTCGCCCTGGTTTTGTCATTAGAGCACATTTTTTGGACCTAGTTTAAGCCTAATTTTTGTTGGATTTCTGGCTCGTTAATTTGGGAAATATAAATATGTTCTTGACTCTATAGTCCAGAAGCAACAGAAAATGGACAGGAAAAGGGTCACATTTCACTTAATGGGTACTCATTCAGAGCTAGCCAACCTCACAGCCATTTTCATAAACAGTCTTTTAAATTTTAAAATCTGCTACCTAGCCAGCTGCATCGATTAGTGGCAGATGGTTGACATGAATAGACTAGACGATTTCTCCAATCCACTATGTCAGGGCTGGCAAAGGACATTGGTCAGAAAGCTTAGGTACTCCCACAGATGACGTTGTCACCTCCCAGAGGTTAAGGATTTACTGGACATTCCTAATGTCGCCTTAATAGCCTGTGATGGATCTGTTTATGTATGGATTTAGGCTGTGAGCTTTTCATTTATCTTTCTGTAGACAGTTTTAGATTTCAGTGGCAAGGACATTGTGGCTAATGAACCAAAATCTTCCATTTGTGTGGAGCTCTGTGAAGTGACTTCACACTATACAAGGCTTAGCACAGTATAGATATAATTTTTGTTAAATGTTAACTTTTTAGACTACATTGTACTGTCAAGGCTCAAATAAATCACTGTGATCCCACTGTCCTGGGATGCAGGAGGGTTCAGGTACCACTCTTCAAAATGCTCTTACTTGAGAACAAGAGACATCATAGTAGCCACTGTTGATTGTCCTATTGTCTGCTTTTGAAGGCGTGTAATGCTTTCATTCTTTTGTTTTGATTGGTTTTTGTTTTGTTTTGTTTGAATTCATTGTGTACGAAGACACACAAGTATTTCGAAGAAAACAAGAGACATTATGGTAGCCACTGTTGATTTCCTGTTGTCTTGTTTTGAAATCCTGTGTTGCTTGCATTGTTTTGTTCTGACCTGCTATGTTCTGTTCTGTTTTATTTTGTTTCGTTTTATTCTCTTTAAAATAACAAAACAAAAAATGTTTTGTTCCTCTGATAATACACAATCCTAATTTATTGGGGGTATTTTTTGCTTGCTGTTCATTTTGTTTGTAATATTCAAAATTGATACAATATTTATTGTAGAAAATTTGATGAAAAGAACATAAAGTATATGGTAAAATGTTCACCTGTAATTCCATGATCCAAAGATAGTTGTTACTAATATTCTGAATATAATTCTAGTAGCCTTTTTTCAAAGCACAAGTATAACATTTTTTGCTAGATTTTAAAATAAAAATAAAAAATTCTTCACATAGTGTTCTGTAAACTGTTTTTTCAGTGAATGACACGTGATGAACAAATTCCCACACTAGTAGGTGCAAAAAATAACCTTATTTTTATGATTCTTTCATATGCACTCAGCTAAATCCCTTAAGCAATTCCCTATTGGTAGATATTTTATTTATTTCTATTTTTTGCTATTATTAATAACATGTTAAGCCTAAACTATAGATCTATGCAGATCAATATGTAGAATTGTGTGTTCAAGGATTGCACACTTTTTACTTTTTACTTTTTTTGTTTTTCTTTTGGAATAACTCTCCAATTATCAGTAAAGGATATTTCTCAATTATACTCTTTTCAAAAGTTCTTTCTTAATTTTACAAGTGGAAAATAATATCTCACTGTTGTTTTAATTTAAGGCATGCTGTCTTGACAGTCTCTTCTTTACTGGCCATATTCAGAGAAGCCTGGAAATATCATTATGATGACATATTTCCCAAAATACCAACAAGACTAAAAGTCTGGTCTTCTTTCTCAGACTGAAGCTTTTTGCCTAGAATATTTTGAAAGCAACCATATTCTCCCGTGGCTAAGTCTCAAAATATCTGCCCACGTAAACCACAATTCCTACAGTTGTGAAGCATGTTAATGCAGCCCATACTGGCCATGTCTGCTGTAAGAAATGTCATCAAGAGATTTGAGTTGACAAGTGACAATAGTAGTGTTTGCTATGTTGTTAAATTGCATTCAAATTACTGGAATTTAAAGGTTTACATTCACTCCATTTCTGGAAGTTAAAGTACTCATTGAGTGCAGCGGTCAGATTTTTCCTCTATTCTATATTTGCACCTTGGTATTATGCAAAGTTCAACGAAAGTCCAAAGAGGCAGTGCCATTCATTACAGAGTGAGGTCTGGCTGTGAATTTGTTCCAGAAGCACACTGGGTTCATGGCTTTGGCCTTCCCCAGACAGACTAATCTTATATCCCTCTTATTTAGCTCACATGGATGATGATTCATTGACTTTTAACTGTTCTGAGACCACAACCAGCTTCCAAACATGCATATATTCTAATTGTTTTTTTAATATAGATATAAGGGGTTGAACTCATGATGTTGCACTTACCAAGCAAGCACACTCAAACTGCTGAGTTAAATCCTTGGCCCTATCTTCTAATTCTTCATCCCCCATTCTAAAGTGCTTTATGGCTGGGGATTTAGCTCAGCGGCATAAATGCTCGCCTGTAAGCGTGAGGTCATGAGTTCAGTCCCCGGTACCAAAAAAGAAAAAAATAAAATAAAATGCTTTATGTTGGCTCTAAGTATTGGACTAAACCTAGTCACCCACAAAATATTTTTTTTTGGCTGATCACATAGATACAAGTCATGAATTCAACAATTATTTGGTAAAACTATGTACAAGGTATTGTGTCAAATGCTAAATGTGTAATTAAATTAAGTCGACTAAGTCGTGATTTCCTGTCTATGTAAAATATATTTCCTTCACTTGTTGCTGCTGGTAGCTTCTTCTACAGCATTTTCAATCTATTTATCTATAATACTTATCTTGTGACCACATTCATAATTGCTAATGTATATGCTTACAAAGTCTCAGCAAAGTTCATTACACATTTCATGTGTTAGGCAGACAACCATGAATGTTTTACAGGACTTTAAAATTTTACAGGGGTCTCATTTTACATTTTTTCATTTAATTCTTGTAAAAGTCAGGTGACACAGGATATTAGTGGAGTAGGCAGAGGATCACCAGGCTGCAGACCCAGGAAAAGAGTTAGTATCACAGAAGTCTGGCCCCTGTTTCTCTGGGGATGTCAGCCTTTTGCTCTCTTCAGGCTTTCAGTAGACTGGACAAGGCCCACTCACATGGTGGAAAGCAATTGCTTGACTCAGAATCCACCAATTTAAATGTAACATCATTCCAAAATCCTTTCACAGAAACATGCAAAATGTTGACCAATTCTCTAGGTCCTGTAGGGGTCAATCACATAAAATTAATCATTGCAGATAAATATGATTAACTTCATATTTAAAGATGTGGAGGGCTGGGGGTATATCTCAGCAACACAGCACATGCCTGGCAAGCATAATGTGAGTTCCATCTCTGGTACCAAAAGAGATGTGGACACTAAGAATCTTCAAGGCTGTGACTGTTCCAAGATCATGCAGTTATTAATGGATAATTTCAATGTTGATTCTTATCTATATAGCTGTCTCATAAAATCTATGATCCCAGGGTTACAATGCTTATGTTTTTTGTTGATCCGTATCTTCTTCCTGGATACTCAAAATGTCTCGAATTCCTTCTGGTTTTGTTTATATGTTCTGACACCAGTTTAAGAGTATCCTACAGGTGAATTCAATTCTGACACTACCTCAAATTAAGAAAGACTCACTCTTAAAGGTTGCTCCACTTCAGAGTACAGCCACAAATTTTAGGTGTCCCCAAGCCACTTTCGTTTCTGCCAAACCAGCCACAAATTCAAGACTTCTCACTGCTCCTTTAGATTTGATCATATGCTAAAACAATTCGCAGAATTCAGCAGAGCTCTTTACTTACAGATTGCTATTTTATTTGTATCACCAAACAACCTGATGAAGGGATACATAGCATGCGGTCCGGGAGGATCATGGCCAAAGAGCTGTGAGTTTCTACATTTATTTGATTCTTAATATACTTTTTCAAGGCAGTTTCCTAAAATTCAAGAACTTGCAAACAAAACAAAACAAAACACAGATTAATGCCCTCCACGATTCCTTTATTCAACACCTCTGTACTACATACCCACCATGTACCAGATACAATCTGTATTACAACTATGTTTCTATTACGTCTGTATAATATCTGTCTTACAAACTGACAATATAAAGATAGTTTTTTTTCCAAGTCTATTTCCTAACATTTCTGCTAAGGAATTCTGTAATTAAAAAGTAAACTAGTAACACTTCTTCCGCTCTCTGGGTGGAAGAAAGCATTCAATTCCATGAAACTCCGACTTTGCATTTTTCATCATTCTTTACACTTTAGTCAGACTTCTCTTGAGAGATTTGGAAGACACTTAAACCTACATAGCTGAGAACTTTGTAGAGATGAATTTAAAGGCTAAGGAGTGCCCATGTACTATGCCACAAATTTGCTTGGAATCTAAACCACAAAACACAAATTTCATTTAGATAGCTGTGAATATACTCTTTCCTTTAAGTGCTTTCTGCATATATCCATGAATGCACTTCATTTAAAACAATTCATGAATTTTAGTCCTGACAAATAAACATATAGGCTTAGAAAAGAGAATCCAGTGGCTATTTAATATACAGTTAAATAATGCATTTTATATAAAAAACATGAAAAA